TTCCTTCCTTCCTTCCTTCCTTCCTTCCTTCCTTCCTACCTCCCCCATCTATTTGCTTTCTTTGTTTCTGTTTCTCTCTCTCTTTCCTTCTTTCTTTCTACTTCTTTCATTCTTTCCACCTTTCTCTTCCCCTTCCTTCCATCCTCCCTCATCTATTAGCTTTCTTTGTTTCTCTCTCTCTTCCTTCCTCCCTCTGCTCCCACCCCATCTATTTACTTTCTTTCCACCGTTATTTCACTTTCTCCCTTCCTTCCTTTAACTCTCTTCTGTCCTCCCCCCTCCCCAATCTATTTGTTTTATTTCTCTCTCTTTCTCTTTCTTTCCACCTCTATCTCTCAAAATAAATATCATTAGCAAATACACAAATATCATTGGACAAATAAATATCATTATGAATATTTGTTTTTATTTTTGGCAGTCCGGTTTAATGTTAATACCAAGCAAATTTGCATATTTTCTAATAAAAACGTGTGTGTAATATTTGTTCATGTCTTGTGGCTCTCAAACATCTGACGTTTATGCTATGTGGCTCTTACATTAAGCAAGTTTGGCCACCGATTTAATCTTCTTCCTTCTGCTCTTCTCTCTGGCAGATTCCAGGGGATTCCCCACTCCAGCAGGTGTTCTCCTTGTAAGAAGGACTGTGTTGAAACTGTCCCCCACGTTCTCCTTCAATGTCCCTTTTATCTGGTGCCCCGCCAGGATCTTCTGTATCCTATATTAGCTCAGTTCTCAGAGATTCCTGATGATTTTAAGGTTCTGTTTTTACTTGATAATCCAGATACGGAAATAACCGAAATAGTAGCAAGGTTTCTTCTTAGTGCTATGGCTATACGTTCTGATAAGTAACCATTGGTTTTTCTGCTTTCATGCTGTTTTTCTGTGCTGTAGCTCCAATTTTACCCTATATGGATTTGTATTTTCTGATCTATATTTAATCTGATCTCCTACTGTATATATATATATACATATGCCAATAAAGGCTTGTCAAAGTAAAAGTAATTTTGGCCACCCCCGCTCTAGGGATTCGACTCTCTTGTGTTTTGCCTTCAGCTTCCTTTTTAATATTCCCCTCATTTTTGTAAACCTCCCTCTTTTGAAATCAAATGTTACCGTTCTGGACTTTAGGGGTAACTCTCCATTGACCTGAATGCTGAACTTAATAGCATTGTGGTCACTGTTCCCAATTGACGTAGCAAACAGGTCTTGAGAGATCCGCTCAACTGTTCCAGTGCACAGTCATCTATGTTGTCTAGGAACCTCATTTCTACAGCATGACTTGAGCACGTTTACCAGTCAATGTGAGGATAGCTGAAGTCTCCCAGCATAATAACATTATCTGCTTTAGTCGTCTCCCTTATTTTCTTCTTCATCCCAAGATCATCCTCAAGGGTTTGACCAGGTGGGCGACAGGACACCCCCACTTTTAAGTAGCCCTTAGGGCCCAGTATTTTCACCCATATTGCTTCTGTTGGGGAGTTAATTCCCCTGATGTTTTCTAACTTATTTGATTCTATGTCCTCTTTGATGCAACACCAACCCGTCCCTCCCTGTCCTGCCTATAGAGCTCATTACACCCAGGAATGATTGTATCCCATAGATTTTTCCCATTCCACCATGTTTCTGAGATACCTACTATATCTAAATTGTCATTGAACACCAAGCACTCCAGATTCCCCATCCTGACTTGGAGACTTCGAGCACTGGCATATAGACATCACTAATGTGTTTCACTCTCCAGTAACTTTGGCTTCCTTTGGCCCCTTAGTCACCACGCATGGCCCTCAGTCACCATCATGCCCTCATTCCCAAGGTCTATTATACTCCTGTCTATATTACCCTAAGTGTTTATGTTCATGATGTTACAACCTGCTACAGTTATACTTGATTGACAATATATGTTTGGGTGATTTCTAGGCATGTATATCCAGGATCATATTCCAATTTGCTCCCTCTCACACATTTAAAAGAAGAAGAAGATGGTGAATTACCTTCAGCGGCTCTTTTGAAAAAGACCTTGCAACTCCCACAGGTGAGTGCTCCGTAGTGGCACCCGGAAGCTTCGTCTCCACAGATCAAGCACGTCTTCTGTGGTGGGAAGTAATAGTCAATGGGCAGCATGTGGTCCCTAGCTGACTCCAACCTTTGGGTCCAAAAGAGAAAGAAAAACATGGCGTCAGCAGAGGTGGCACAACCGGAACTCCTGAGCGGGACACTGATGAGTGATCTCACTCTGCTGGACAGGAGAGCACAGCTGGAGCCAAACGAGGTGCCCTCTGTGAGACTGGGACGCACCAAGTTGAATGCCACCGCCCCCCCCCCCAAAGTGGCCCAGCAGGGGCTTCCTCAACTTTGCTTGGGTTGCCAAGCTGGGGGCGCAAAACCAAAGACCTCTCCAGCCCCTGGCAAGTCCACAGTCGTGGGGAGGGCCAGGAGCGCCAGGTGCTGCTCTGCTGAGGTTTGAAAGAGGGCAGATTTCCACTCCAACAAATCTTTGGAGCAGAAGACAGAGGCTGGAATGGGTCTGGCTTCTCTTCTGATCCAGCAACCCCTATCTGGCTGGCACAGGACAATCCATGGATGCCAATGCCATTTTAAACGAGAAGTTAAGGTAAAGGTAAAGGTTTCCCTTGCTCAAAAGCCAGTCGAATCCGACTCTAGGGGGCGGTGCTCATCTCCATTTCCAAGCCGAAGAGCCAGCACTGTCCAAAGACATTTCCGTGGTCATGTAGTCGGCATGACTAGAAGCCTAGGTGCACGGAATGCTGTCCCCTTCCCACCAAAGCGGTACCTATTTATCTACTTGCAATTTCTTGCTTTCAAACTGCTAGGTTGGCAGGAGCTGGGACCAGAGACTCCGTCACGCGGCACTCGGGTCTGGAACTGCCGAACTACAGACCTTCCGGTCTGCAGTTCAGCGTCTTAACTGCTGCCCCCAAACGAGAAGTTAGCAGTCTACAAACGGCTGCAATTGGGCCCGCAGCACGGCAACAGCATGAGCTCTTGTTCTTTCCAAGGTCTGAAGCAGCCCCCACGAAAGGGTGTTGTGGGGGGGGGGAGGACAAGATGCTGTGCTGAGTGCCCAATCAGAATCAGGCCCCCATGGCCATTCTTTAAATCCTTCTCTAAAATGGCATCAGCCCCCGTGGGCTGTCCCTTGCTAGCCTGTGAGAAGTCCCTGCACGCTAAACACAATGCCTTACAAATCCAGGTGCAGCACAAAAAAGGAGACGTATGCAGACAGCGCCAGGACTCTTCAGTTCTTTTTGCCCAGAGCAAAGGGCTCTGTTTTCTAATGCTCAACAACACGCACCGGAACCATGCACCCCACATGCCTCTGTTTGCTGGATGAACAGGAACCAAAAGATCCTGCTCATGGTCAGAGCCTCACAATAGTTACAGTTATTCACAATAGTTCCCCAATAGTTATTTAAGTGGAGTCTCTGGACGTGCATGGCCAAGCGGAGGCAATCTTTAGTCCTTAAGAATGACAGTGGGAACATTTTAAATGTGCACTGTGCAAGATCAGATGTGACAAGAAGATGTCAAGGATACAGATATAAATCAAATAGCTAAAAAGGGTTAATTAAGCAAACCTCAAAATACATATAATTAAAAAATATCTATACACCATAAAAACCAGCTCACTGGTTTTTGCATGAAAAGGTTTTATGCAACACATCTGAAGAATTTACAGGGTGACCATCTACGATGGCTTGCCTCAGACTGTCGGAAATGTCCTGAAATTTCAGGTGAGGCGAGTGCTGCAGCTGTGCAAAGGCTGCCCACCGTTTCAGAACAACAGGAGGGCCGGAAGAAGCCTTTCCCCTGGCCTCAGTTCAGGTAGCAGCAAATACGGCAGCAGCGGCAGCACTCCTTTCGGGGGGGGCAGAGCGCAGGGGCCCCGGCGCTCCTGGTTGGCAGAGCAAATCCCTTTGGGAGCAGAGGGGGCCTGCCTGGAAGTTTAATGCCAGCTCACATGGACACAGTCCCTCCATGTTAATGAGTGAAAAAGAGAGTTTTGCCCCTAAGCCGGCCCTGGGAAGACGCCTAGATGACGGAAGAACGTGTGCTGTCAGGTTAGGTTGACAAATGGAACCCATCTTGGACTAATAAGACTCAACATCAAGAGCACCGCACTTTACTTAATGATTTTTTTAATGCTGTTTTAACTGTTTGTTATGGCATTTGCCTCTGTTGTCAGCCGCCCTGAGCCCATTTGGGGAGGGCGGGATATAAATGCAATTAATAAATAAATAATAAAACAATAAATAATAAATACATTAGTGATCAGATTTGGAACTGCCAAGCAAATGTCTTCTGTTGTGTACCCAGTTTGAGATCCTCCTTTCCTTACAGAACAGCCTGGGATGGCTGAACCTAGACCCTTTCTGAGCGGCAGGTTCTGCACCAGGCTGGGCCGTTGCGCCACTTCCTGAGCCACGGGAACCTTTGTCCGGCCCACCAGCCTGCTCACACCTTCCCTTTCAACATCAAGGCCTCCCTTTTTCCCTTCAACTGAGAACGGACACCAGCAAGCCCCAGAAAGTCATTCACATCAAGCCTTGAGTCCTCCCGGATGATGGCCTCCTAAAATTGCCCAGTATGGTTTCCAATCCTGGGTTGGGAAACTCCTGAAGGTGGGGAGGGCGGGGTTGGGCAAGGCAAGGGACCTCAACAATGCCCGAGTCCACAGAGTGATACATCAAGTCATTCCCCCCTCCCCCGGACTTTGCAAGGATCATCACCTAACCGGAAGGAGACTGTGTGCACACGTGCGCGCACGCACACGCGCACCCCCAAGCGTCCTGCAGATCGCTTGCCAAGGTCGTCCTACTGGGCTGAGGCAAGGAGGAGACTATCTGCTCTCTGGATGAGAAGGGTCCCTCTGACCTCACAGTGGGAGCTCGGGGAGGGGGGGCCTCAGGACTCATTCATCCGGAGCGGCTTCCATTCATTGCTTTGTGTTCCACTCTTCACTCAGGGGTTCCTTGGGGGAGATCACTATATCTATACAATTATATCTATACCATCATAAATAAAATATGAGCAACTCGGGGTGGGGGGAGCACAACTCATATGAGGTAGCAGGACCAATCCCTTCAAAAATATCCACAGCAAACCAGCCTGATGAATCTTTTAACCACACATGTGCCACTACTGAAAAGGCCCTGCTTGGCCCACGGTGCCTGGAGCAAGTCCTCACCTGCTGTTCTCAGGACTAGGGTTCCCATTGCCCCGACGGGGGTTGGAGTTTACCCGCTTTTGCGGCCTTCCGATCCGCCAGCTCCGATTCGGCTGGAGGGGGGAGCCCCACTCCCAAAGCGTCTTGTTTGCGCCAACATGCCCGGCATAATGACATCACCCAGAGGTGACCCATAGAGTTTTTCCTTAAACAATAAAGCATCCTCTGCAACATGCCCTCCGGGGGATGTATGTGCACTGGGCACGTTGGCACAAACAAGATGCTCTGGGGGTGGGGTTCCTCTTGCCAGCCAAATTGGGGCTGGTGGACTTCTGGTTGATGGCGGCACGCTAGCAGACTCACCTCCCGGACCTCCCGGGGGTGAAGCTGCGCTTCAGCTGAAGGAGGGGGTGTGCAGGCTCACTACCCCCCCAGGGACCCGGTTGAAGGGACCCTGGCCATGGAGCTTTTGAGAGGTTGCCTCTTCGATGGTGAAAAGCCGGAGAATTGAGGCACCTCTCCACAATGACGGTTCTTTGTGCTGAGAGACCGAATGGACTAAGTGACGCTGACCGGGGCAAGCGCAGGAGATCGAGCATTAGAAATGGAGTGTAAACGAGGTCCGCGGACCGATTATGAACGTGAGTAGTTTAAGCACTGATTTAAAAGAAAAGAAGGTCCTCACCCCCACCCCACAGAACAGAAGATAAGGCGAGCGGGGGAGGGATGCCTCCCAAGCGCATAGACTTTAGAGCGATTGAGGGGGGGGGAGCGGAAGTATAAATGGTTAAAACTGCTAAGGAGTACTTACCAAGGCGAATGCGAGCGTTTAAGCGCATATTCAGAGACTTTCACAAAGTTTGCGAAAATAAACAAAGCGAAAAAGATGGCGGGGAAGAGGACGGAGAAAGAGAAACATCTGAAATCGAAAGTAACTGAGAGCCCAAAACCGGAAGGAGTCAACAAACCGGCAAAGACTTTGGCAGACTCCATGCGCCACCTGCTGGACCAAATGAATAATCTCAAAGAGCAGATGACATCAATGACCCAGTGTATCACCACTCAACAAAATCAAATAAGCGAGATTTCTGGTCTATGGATTGGCAATGGCAGTCGCTCTCCCCAGAGCTTGGGGAGGCGATTAGCACACCGTTGGCATGGAGGGGTGCCACCTCAAGTGGCACTCCCACGGAGCCTTTGTGAAAGGCTCCAGGCCAGAGAGCTTTTGAGGGATAGCCTCTTCGACGGCTTGCTGCCAGAGAATTGAGGCTCCCCTCCACTCTGACAGTCCTGCCGATGAGTGGCCTTAGGGCACAAGCTAACCCGACCGGGACAAGCAGAACAACGATTGATGTGAGCGAGGTCAGGAAGATGACAAACAATGAACGTGAGTTCCAAGTAAACGAACTTTGATAAACGGCACACCCCCCCCCCGGAAAAGCGGAGCGCAAAGAGGGACGCCTCTGAAGCGCATGGACAGATAAATCACAGTGAAGGGGGTGTGGGAGGAAAAAGACAGCGTGTGTATTTTGAGAGTCTTACCTGAGTGCAAAAAGCGAATTGACGAGTGCTTCGAGCCCAGGAGAAGCAGTTTGAAAGTGTAAACAAAGTTGAAAAATAGCGGCGCCTCGAGGAAAGTTTAAAGCCAAGCCTGGAAGTCAGAGTCCGAGGCCCGACGAGGGAGCTGACGTCATGAAGCTGTTAGCGGATATGCTCAAGCCAGTGATGAATCGGCTCAATGGTATTAACCAGCAACTGACCTCGTTAAATCAAAACTTCGCTTTACAATAGCATCAGCTAGCAGAAACAGAAAAAAAAGTGGGGCTGGTGGCTGAGAAAGTTACAGAGATGGACACCTCAAGCAAGAAGATAAAGAAAAGAATGGGTGAAGTTGAAACGAAACAAAATCTCCAAGAAAATCGTTTGTTGCAGCTGCAAATGGAAAAGGGTTCCAGGGG